AAGGTTATAGACAAATCCACGGAATTGACTATGATGAAACCTTTTCTCCAGTTGTTATGCTGAAATCCATTCGGATAATGCTTGCAATTGCAGCCTATTACGATTACGAAATTTGGCAGATGGACGTCAAGACGGCTTTCCTTAACGGGAACCTCAAAGAGGATGTTTTTATGACACAGCCTGACGGTTTTCAAATTGCTGGTCAGTCTGCCAAAGTTTGTAAGCTGCAACGTTCAATCTACGGATTGAAACAAGCATCTCGGAGTTGGTACATACGTTTCGATGAAACCATTTCCAGTTTTGGTTTCGAGAAGAACTCTGACGAATCTTGTGTATACAAGAAGGTCAGTGGGAGTGTAATAGTATTCCTAATCTTATATGTCGATGACATATTGTTAATGGGTAACGATATTCCCGCTCTCACTTCTGTAAAGACGTGGTTGAGCGAGAACTTCTCCATGAAAGACTAAGGGGATGCTAATTATGTCCTTGGCATAAGAATCTACCGAGATAGATCAAGAAAGTTAATAGGTCTAAATCAAAGTACATATGTAGATAAAATCCTTGATCGATTTAGCATGTCTAACTCAAAGAAAGGATCTTTACCTATTGTTAGAATAAGTGCCCTTCACTAGAGGGGGGGTGAATAGTGAGGCACGAGAATGTTTATAATATTTCGCGGAATAAAAGTCGCAGGGATAAAGTAAAGAGCGGAATAAAAAGGAGTAAAGGGAGCACACCAAGATTTACCCTGGTTCACCACAACTTGTGGCTAATCCAGCCTCCCGAGAGACTCTCTCGAGCTACACTACTTCCGTTAAGCTTACGGGTGCTTAACAAACCATTACAACCTGAGAACTTGAGTCCCACGAGCCTCAATACACTTGCTCGGAGATACCGCACTCCAAGACTTCAACCCGAAGGAAAATACCTTTCCTTCGTACAACCAAGGGAAACAAGCTTCCCTAAACGTGTTTACAACACTAAGAACACTCAAGAACAAGACTCTCTTTAAGAGTAGATGTTGAATAAACTATATATGCTCAAGAACAACTCAAACTTCACAAATTGGCTCTAGAAAGCTATGGAAAATAATGTTGTTTGGATGCAATGATAATATGAATAAAGTGAAGTGAATTGATGTGAAAAGCATACTCAAACACCCCTTTTTATAGTGCCAAAATAGGCTCCAACGGACCAATACATTAAAGGGGTGATTGGCTTGATTTATGGGATTGAATAAATTTGGGATCTGCAGGATATTGGCTTCCCATCGATGTTTGGACTCGCCCATCGCTGGTAAGCCAATTTCCCTTCAGTTTTGAAACAAACGGTCACCTACCAATCGATGGGTACAAGCTTCCCATCGCTGGGTGGGAAGTTGACTTCCAAACAAGGAAAGAATCAGCCTTAAATGACTTCCAACGGTCATGCCTTCCCATCGATGGTTAAGCCTTCCCATCGCTGGGTTCCCATCGATGGGTAAAGCTTCCCATCGCTGGGTAAGGGCATTCTGCCTTGTGATAATGTTGGACCAAGGCTTGAGCAGCGATGGGTAGAGCTTCCCATCGCTGTTTGGCATGGTTTTGGAATTCAATTGAGCTGAAGGCTGCTTACCCATCGATGGGTAATATCTCCCATCACTGGGTGAAATGATTCTGGAATCCCGGGATCAGTTTCCCATGCATGGGTAAACTCTACCATCGCTGGGTAGATGGCTTGTCCAGAACCATGGCTTAGCCGACCGACACTGAAACCCGACCGAAAAATGCAAAGTTCTCCAAAGTAAAAACTTAGTGTTTAAAACACTTATTTAATGTATTTTGATGTCAAAATAAGCTTTGTATGATGAAAACCACGTCGTTAAGGTAAAAACCACGGTTGACCAAGTCAACGCCGTACACGGGTGGTTTTTACCAAAAGACAAAACCGAAAGATGGTTTTCATGATGTTTTGATTGGAGAACCATTTAAATGCATTCAAAAACAATTCCCACAAAAAAAGACTCGAAAACACGGCTAGCCAAGTTTATGCCGTTTCGCATGGTTTTTATCAAACGACAAAAAACGAAAGGTGGTTTTTGAAATGTTTTTGATGGAAAACTATTTAAATGTGCCGAGAAGTAAAAACAAATCATAAAAAGTTGAAAACCACTTGGTTGGTTTGGACGCCAAAAACTAACGCCGATAACCGAGTGCCGAACGCCGGTTTCTGAAAGCCGAACGCCGGTTTCCGAAAGCCGAACCCCGGATAGCTTGGTTTTTTATTTGGGCGAACACCAAGTGTTTTTAATATGTTTGAGCATGTTTGAAAATAATTTTGATGATATGTAAAATGCAATAAAAAATGTTTTAGCCTAAAGAGCCAAAGTGCAAAGCTTGGGTCGGTCTTGATCACATTGTGAGCGACTCAACGACGCTAAAGACTACGGTCTTCGTTCTTGGTCTCTTTTAGCTCTTGTTCTCTTGCTTTCTTCTTATATTTATTTCTCGCCTTGTATATTCAATAACTTGTCTCGTTCACGGCAGTTTGGCATTATCAAAACCTGTCATAAAAACGAACACTGTTAGACAAATGTGCAACTCTAGAGGGGGGGGTGAATAGAGTTGTTTTCAAGAATGTGCGTTTTTCGCGTTTGTGAAATAATAGAATCGCATGACAAAATAAAGAGAGTAAGGGAAAGAAGAACACCGAGATTTATACTGGTTCACCACCTCGTGGCTAATCCAGTCCTCCGAGAGACTCTCTCGAAAGTCCTACTAATCTTCAAGCTTCAACGGGTGCTTGAAAAACCGGTACAACTTGAGAACTTGAATCACACAAGCCTCACTTTCTTACAACAACAAGACTTGAGTCACACAAGTCTTAAGAACAACACTCAAAAGAGATTGAGTTTACAACACAAGAATGGAAGCTCACACAATTGAGCAAAGTAGTGTTGAAGAATTTAAGCTCTATGGATGACAACTTCTTTAGCACTCAAAGAAAATATTTTTAACTTTCAAAAATAATATTTTGATGAGGAAGATGAAGCAAAGGAAGAATATAGCTCAAAGAATATATTGAAGTGCAAGAGGTGTGTTTAGAAATGAAGGAGAATGAGGGATTAAATAGGCTGAGGAAAATAAAGCCGTTGAAGAAAGCTGATGATATGCACCAGACAGAATTAATTGATTAAATTAGGAATTTTATTCGATTAAAGTGTACAGAAGCGAAAAGGCTTGAGACCAAAAGTGGAATTAATCGATTAAAAAGGAGAGAAAAATCGATTAAATGGCTCTGTTTAAACTAATCGATTAAATGGACAAATTTAATCGATTAAGTCTATTGGCCTGAGGAATCCAGCGCTGAGAAATTGGATCTAATCGATTATTTTACATAAATTAATCGATTAAAGTAAAAAATAATGCGCAAACAAGGACCCAAGCCAAGTGCGATGAGAAGGGCATTGGCTTTATATTCGTTGTTTGAGACAGCGAGAATAACAAAACGCTCCTCAAAAAAGTAATATCCCTTATTCAATGAATTTGAATAGGGGAGAAAAAATGAGTCCAAAAATTATTTTGTGTGTCAAACGATGTATAAGAAAAAATATTTAAAGTATATTTTTCTTACCAAAAAAAAATGTGTAATCTTAAAAAGAATGTTTTAAAGAAATTTTGACACACTTATTTTGAAACTGACTCAATAAAATATTTTAGACAGAGGAAAAGTAATTTTTCAACTGACTCAAAAAATAATAATTTTATCCCTCAGAAATTTAATTTATTTGTGCAGAAGATATTGTCATCCTTACAAATATTCCTAGACAAAAAAAATCTTCAGAGTCTTCACTTCACTTCAAAAAAAAATCTCCGTAGGGGTGGTCGTCGATTTATATCGCCGTAAACTTCTTGATACCCTTCTTTGCTTTTCTCGATACGAAAATAAATTTTCGATCAGCTTGAAACTAATCATCCTATTTGTCATTCATCAAAACAAAAAAAAATATTCCAGAAGAAATAGAAAAGGGGTTTGAACTCATGTCCAACAATTTCCCCCTTTTTGATAATGACAAACATAGTTGAGAAAGAGCAAAGTAAGAGTTCAGAAATTTCTTCCTTTTAAGAATAATTTCCCCTGCAAGGTTAGAGAAGTGCAGTAAAAAAAAATCATCGGAGTAATAAGCGGAAAAAAAATTTCTCAACTATCCTTCCTTCCCCCTTTTGGCATTATCAACCGATAACCTTCCCCCTTAAACAATGCCGGGATATTGAAGGCAAAAGTTTTCTTTAAAAGAGAACTCTTAAAAAAATGCCACAAAGGGACAATATGTTCTAAATAAGAACAATATTGCCAAACCAACAATGATATTAATACACAAGCAGTTAATATCAACTAGCATCATCGAAAGGAAACATCATCATCCACCAAAAGAGTCATAACAAATAACAATGTATCATAATCAGTCAAGAGGAAAAAGAAAATAACAATCAAATAGAGTTCGCCGGACGAGCTCCTCCTCCAAAACTGTGACGCGGGCCACGGTAGAAGCGAGATTGCTCAAGACGAGTCATCCTCTCGTTGAGCTGGCGAACGTCATCTCGGATGCATGTGAGAGTATCAAAGATCTTTTTCACCCAAGAAGGTTCCGGTGCTTCTTCTCTTGGACGAGTGCTCCGTTGACGAGTGACGCGCTCCGTGGCTCGACTTCCTCCGGCTTGAGATGACTCAGCTTGAGTCTCGTTTTGGCTCTCTTCTTCTTCTTCTTCGGCGACTATCAGGTCCAGATTTGGTGCAGCATCGCCCTCCTCTCGATACATGATCCGGGAAAACATGGCTTCAGTGATGAAACACGTCTTCTTGACCGGCACCTGAGTGTCCCGAGTAAAGTCTATTTTGCAATGAGCAAGGATATGCATAATGGGGATGGCAAAACGGAGATGGGAAAAACAAGTGCCATCGCTAAGTGCAACGATAAAGAAGTGAACCCAATCAAATTTGGAACATTCTTACCAAGTCTTCTACAATGCAAACAACATCATTAAGAGTTAAAGGATCATTGGGAGAAGGTTCTTGATCACTTACCTCTTTTGATGTATCACCATCTTCAATGGCCATGAGACACAAGTTGGCCACTTCTTCCGTTTCCGAGTCTTCACTCCCGGAGCCGTCGTTCTCCCAAGAAATGTAGGCACGCTGCTTCTTCGGTGCCTTCTTGTCCTTCTCGTTCTTGAGCTTTGGGCACATTGGTTTGATGTGTCCAATTTCACCACACCCACAGCATTTGGGTGGAGTGTTCAAGTGCCATCGCTAAGTGCAACGATAAAGAAGTGAACCCAATCAAATTTGGAACATTCTTACCAANGCGCAAACACAAAGGGCCCAAGCCAAGCGCGATTGGAAGCCCTTTGGCTTCTAACTCCTTGTTTGAGACAGGGAGAATAAAGAAGCGCTCCTCATATAAATAATATCCCTTATTCAATGAATTTGAATAGGGGAGAAGAAGTGAGTCCAAAAATTATTTTGTGTGTCAAACGATGTATACGAAAAATATTTAAAGTATGTTTTTCTCACCAAAGAAATTTGTGTAACCTTAAAAAAATGTTTTAAAGAAATTTTGACACACTTATTTTGAAACTGACTCACTAAAATATTTTAGACAGAGAAAAAGTAATTTTTCAACTGACTCTAAAATAATTTTTATCCCTCAGAAATTAAATTGTTTTGTGCAAAAGATATTGTCATCCTTACAAGAATCCTAGACTCAATAAAAAAAATTAAAAAGTCTTCGGAGTCTTCACTTCACTTCAAAAAATTGCGTGGGGGGAGCGTTGATTTATCCCGTAACTTTCTTGATACGCCTCATTTCTTTTCTCGGTACGAAAAGTAAATTTTCGATCATCGTTTGAATTTCATCATCCTGTTTGTCATTTATCAAAACAAAAATATTCCAGAAAAATAATAAAGGGGTTTGAACTCATGTCCAACAAGGGATGCGAGATCGGTTTTAAAACCATTTGCTCCGATACCAAATGGTAACACCCCAATCCGTCCAGGTCTGCAGCCCCTTTCGGACTAAAGTATTAACTTGGTAATCGTAAAATTTAAAACTTTTCAAACACTTTTATTTATCACGATAATATTTTTCATAACATATACAGTGCGGAGTTTTCAATATTGCGGAAGCTTAACAAATCATAATTACAAACATAATTTATTTATGTTCTTTAATTCAAAACCGTCACATCCATTCCGACAATCTCGCCTCCGTCTGCCTCCAGAATCATGTCACATCATTCTTTCTATTAACCTGCGTGTAGCAAATAAAACATACTACACGCTTAGCGGTGAAGCTGAGTAAGCATATCTAAAGCGTCGAACATCCATATAAATTGAATCCAAATTCATAATCAAATCATTTGATATCATGCACAGAGTATTTAGTTCAAATATACAATAATCAATATTCAACATTCGTCATTCAATGTTCATATTCAACATTCAACATCCTCGTTCAATAATATCCTTAAACTATTCTTAGTCTAAGGCCAATTTATTTGATTTTTACCAACTCTTAAACTAGTTCTTGTTTAAGGTACTTCTATCCAACTCTTAAGCTAGGTCATTAGTTTAAGGTACATATATTCCGATTGATTTACCAACTCTTAAACTAGTTCTAGTTTAAGGTACTTCTATCCAACTCTTAAGCTAGGTCATTAGTTTAAGGTACATATATTCCGATTGATTTACCAACTCTTAAACTAAGTGCCTTTGCTTAAGGTACAAATCCAGAAAACCGAACAGTAGGATACTAACTGTCGGGTTGGGTGGCATCCCCAAACGAGTTCCTCTAGTTTGGTTATGGATCCCGTACGTACGTTTTACCCCAGGCCACCGAATATTCATAATTATACCCGCAAGGCCTATTTCTAAGTCATCTTAGAGGTCTTCTAGATAGTCTTAGAAACGAACGTCAACCTAGGTATATCTTAGAGTTCTTCTAGATATCCTTAGAATTCAAATCATTTCATAATCATCAACATATTTATTTCAATTCCTAATTTAATCTTCAATAATCATTTTAATCAGTAGTTTCATCAAGTCATAATCATCATAATAATCATTCATCATAATCATCAATCAACATAACATTTGATAACAAACAACGACCTAGTCTCGAGTGTTAATACCCAAACTTACCGTCATGCATCACATAGTATTTTATATGCCAAAAACATCATTTTTATTATACAAAATCATATTTATATTGTGCATAATTAATTGGTATCAAAAATAGGATTTCATAGTTCAAAAATCATGTTTTCTAAACAATAATTGATTAATATATGCTAGGAAATTCAATTATTAACTATTAGCTTCATTTTCTTCAATACTGTCACTTTTGATAATCTACTGTCTGATGTTCAGAATGGGCTGATAATTGATTATCACACTTTGATAATCGATTATCAAACTTCAGAGAGGGCTGACAGTCGATTATCACATTCTGATAATCGACTGTTGCTCAGCTTTGTTCAAAAAATCTGCAGAACGATGAATAATCGATTTTCAAGTTGATAATCGATTATCCATCGTCTTCTACCTCGAGCCAACTTGCGGAAATGTCACTTTTACTCACCAAACTTCAATTAAAGTATATAAAAGTGTTCTCCAAGGTTCATAGATCATTTTGGCATCATTAATTCATAGTTTTAACATCAAAATCATGGTTTACGATTCTTAGTTCTTCAAACATGTCAAACACAAAACTCAACCAAATGAAC